ATGGGCAAACGATCTAAATAAGACATTTCCCCAAAGAAGATACAAATGGCCAATAAGCACATGAATGGACACCCAACATCATTAGCCATTAAGGAAATGCATATCAAAACCACAATAAGATACCACTTAACACCCACTAGGACGGCAGTAACCAAAAAGATGGGCAATAACAAATGTCGGTGAGGATGTGGAGAAACTGAAACCCTCATGCATTGCTGATGAGACCGTAAAATGGTGTAGCTGTTTTTGAAAACACTTTGAACTACGTTTAGCTCAAAAAGCTAAATACAGAGCTACCATATGATCTAGCAATTCCACTCCTAAAACATCATCCAAAATAACTGAAAGCAGGGTCTCAAACAGATCCTTGTACACCAACGTTCACTGCAGCATTATTCGCAACAGCCAAGAGGGAGGACACTCAAGTGTCCATCGGCAGATGGATGGACAAGTAAAATAGGATATATACAGACAAAGGAGTATTACTCAGCCATAAAAGGAATGAAATTCTGACACATGCTGCAACATGGAGGAATCTGGAAAATTCCAGTGAGATAAGCCAGACACAAAGCGAGGGAAGGGGGAGTGGAGAATTACTGTTTAATCGGCACAGCTTCTGTTCAGGATAATGAAGAAGCTCTGGAGATAAACAGTGGTGAGCGTCACACAACACTGTAAATGTACTTAATGTCACTGAATTGTACACTTAAAAATGGCTAACATGCTGAATTTTGTTATATATATTTTACCGCAATAAAAAAAAGCATAAGCTTCCCAACTGTTCTCCCCGTTTCTACTATTCCCCACTCCAGCTTTTTTGATCTACTCTCAATATAAGAACCAGAAGCTTCCTGATAAAACCATAGGTTTACCAAAGAAGATACACAGATGGCCGACACATGAAAAGATGTTCAAAATCACTAACTATCAGGGAATTGCAAATCAAAACTACAATGAGATATCACCTCACACCCGTCAGAATGGCTAAAATTAACAAGACAGGAAACAACATGTGTTGGAGAGGATGTGGAGAGAAGGGAACTCTCATACCCTGCTGGTGGGAGTGCAAACTGGTGCAGCCACTATGGAAAACAGAATGGAGATTCCTCAAAAAATCAAGGATAGAACTACCATATGATCCAGCTATTCCACTGCTGGGTATGTATCCAAAGAACTTGAAAACACCAATGCGTAAAGATACATGCACCCCTGTGTTCATTGCAGCCTTATTCACGATAGCCAAGACTTGGAAGCCACCTAAGTGCCCATCAAGGGACGAATGGATAAAGAAGATGTGGTATATGTACACGATGGAATACTACTCAGCCATAAGAAATGATGAAATCCAGCCGTTTGTGACAACATGGATGGACATTGAGGGTATGATGCAAAGTGAAATAAGTCAGAGGGAGAAGGTCAAACACCTTATGATTTCCCTCATTAAGTAGTAGATAATAACAACAATAAACAAACACATAAAGACAGAGATTAGATTGGTGGTTACCAGAGGGGAAGGCGGGAGGGAGGAGGGCAAAAGGGATAATTCGGCATGTGTGTGGTGATGGGTTGTAATTAGTATTTGGGTGGTGAACATGATGTAATCTATGCAGAAGTATAATGATGTATACCTGAAATTTCTACAATGTTATAAACCAATGTTACTGCAATAAACAAAAAATTAAAAAAAAAACCCATAGGTTTACACAACTATTTGTGTTTATCAAAGCTCATAGAATTTTACAGTAAAAAAAGGTGAATTTTACTATATGTAGATAATCCCTCAATTTTTTAAAAAATTGCTAAGTTAAAAAACAAAAAACGTAAATCAGATCAGGCTACTCTACTGCTCAAAAACATCCAACGGTCCGCCAGGTCCTGCCAAGGCTTACGAGATGTTACACGACATGTGCCCCACCCTCGCCCCACTCCCTCACCACATCTCCTGGTGCTCTCCCTCTCGCTCCAGCCACCAGGGGCCACCTGGCTCTTTCCTGAACCTGCCAGACGTGCTCCTGCTACAGGCCCTGCGCTTGGCGCTTTCTTCCTTAGGATAGTCCCAAGACCTGCTCTCTGGCCTTTTGGTCTTTACTCAAATGTCAACTGTCAAAAGCTACTGAAAGGCAGAATATTACAGAAGACAGGAAAATCCAGCTTAGTGGTGAAAGAAACAGGGTCTGGTATTTCTGAGATATTTTAGCCATTAACCAGGTGAGAAGCATGTTCCCTGGCCACTCTATTTAAAACTGCAACCCACGCCGACACAACAGTCCCTAAATCCCTTCCCTACTTTAGTTTTCTCCATCATACCTATCACCATCTAAAATATTATATATTTTACTTATTTACTTCACTTATCGTTTGTCTCTCTGTGACCAGGGCAGGGTTGTTGTTTCAGGGGGGGTATTTGTTTTGTTAACTGCTTTATCCCCTAGGACAGTGTGTGGCACACAGCAAGTGCTCACTGAATACTGTTCAAAGAGTGAACAGATGAATGCCAATATTTCTGAAAGGAATGATGTGTGGTGTGTTTCAGTAAAAAAAACCCAGATAAACCAAAAATCCCACCTGATCTAACCTCACCCACCCCACTGCTTCATACTCCACTTCCTGCCAGGTCTCTAGCCATACTGGCCTTCTTTCAACTTCGCCTCAAACACGCTCCCCCTTTCCCAGGTTTGGGCTTTCACACCTCCTGCACCCTCTGTCCAGACACTCTTCTCTCCCCTCTTTGCCTAGCAACTTCTGGTCACTGTTCAACTTCCAGCTAAGCCATCTTTTCCATACTAACCTCTTCGTCAACCCCAGACTCCATCAGACTGCCTCATTACAGGCTTTCTTAGCACCTTGTACTTCTCTCTCATTGAACTTACTACACTACAGTCAAATAACCGTTCATGTAATTGGTAGTTTAGTGGCTGTCTTCTTGCTCAAATAGAAGAGCCGTGAACGCAGGGACTTGGGCTGTCTTATTCGCTACTGTACCCCTAATACTCAGGGCAGTCTCGTGCTCACAGTAGATGCCCTATAAGAACCTGCTGAATCAAGTGATTGAGCTCTGGAGAGGAGTCTGAATAGCCATGGGTTTGCTCCAGATAAATCTTCTTCCTTAAAACACGATGGTTAGTCAATGAATATAACGGATGAAGCCAATGAACATAAGATAGACCAATGGCAGATAAATGTAAGCTCATCTTATAATACATCTTCTATTAGATACTACTCAGAAAAAGTTAAATGCAAAATTAAATACTTAAAATACACTTAGGAAACTACTGCTTAACAGAATCTGAAAGTAATTTTATAATGAAGACATACATATAATGAACATATTTCCCTCTCAAGCTTTCTTATTGGGGGAGGTGGTAAATACCAATTTCCATTTATCAATTATCCTTAGCATTTACCTATTATTCAATAAACAGTTATTAAAAAAGACACTCCAGGCACCATGCTGGGCATACAAGTTAAATAACTGTACCAGAGTCCAATTCTGTGGGAAAAGGAAGAGAAAGTTTCTTCAAGATTCCTTTTTAACTTCTGCGCCTATTTTTCTTAAGTCAGAAAAAAGGGCAAACTCAGAATTGCTCCTCTAACAAAGCCCTTATCAAAGATCAGCTCAGATGAGCCATGTGAGAGAAACAAAGCTTGAGGAGAGGTAACGTGAAATCACCAAGAGGTGCTTCTCACACATGGTTAATGGGTAAAATATCTCAGAAATACCAGACCATATTTCTTTCACCATTAAGCTGGATTTTCCTGTCTTATGTAATATTCTGCCTTTCAGTGGCTTTTCTTTGCCTTCTCTACACTAGGAATCTGGCTACAATCCCCAAGCTTTAATGCATAGTTCCTTCCTTTGAGAAGTTCGCGACAACCACAAATGCCATCTTGGTCTAAACAGCATACCAAAGCTTCAAGGTCACTACAAGATAGGAAAGCGGGTAGGCTTGGTTTTGGCTCTTAGTATGGCCCTGAGATAACTAAGAAATTCCTGGAACAGGCAGTGTTGATAAATGGACCAATGTGGAAAAAAGAGAAGGCCAGCAGACTAGTGAAGCAGGGCCACTCGATAAAGCCAAAACAGAACAGCGAGCAGGCCTGCTCTGTGGGGGTGGCAGAGAGCAGGCACGATGTGGAAAAACCACAGGGTCTGCGGCTGCTCTTCGTGCTGCTGAACTAATCACGGGCACCAGACGCTAACCCCCTGAGTGACACTGGTCCTCACAATCCCTAAATTCAAACTGAGGAATGTCCCTCCACTCTTCGCTATGCCACAGGGGAGGTTGGGCTGGACAAAAGAGATCATGGCTACAAAATACACAGAACAACAAGGCCCAGGAATATTCTATGAACTGTGCTGTCCAGAACAGTGGGAGGGACTCAGTGCCTTGAATTCTAAACACAGATTCAGACTAAAGAAAAGTAAGCTCCGGCAGCAAGGATCCAGCTCTCAAATATGGCATGGAAAGGAAGCTGGAAGTCTCCAAACAGAGCTGCTGCCTTTTACGATTGTTTTTTTCATACAAAAGGCAAAAGAAATTTATAAGAACAGAAACGCCTGGAGAGAGGAAGTGAGGGAGGAGACTGTCAATCTCAAGATCACCACTGAGCTTTAAGAATCAATAGTCTGCATTAGCACTGAAGCGTCAACTCTGGAACCCAAAGAGTATTAAAAACAAAAGAAATCTACCCCTACACCTGACTTAATAGCCCTAACGTGTACCATACGTAGACTTACTTGTGGCAAACAGCACACTGAGTATATATCACCAAGACAGACTTTAAAGGTTTATGAGGCAACTGTTACTGGCAAGTTGAAGAAGACAATCTCCCAAAAGCCCACTTGTGTACCCAAGATTAGCTGTCCACCCCTCTTATAATCTAAAGCTCTGCAGGAAAAACAGTCACTGTGACAGCAGCAATGCTGCTCCCTGCAGGCAGTTCCTCGTTATTAAAGAATAATTCAATGGCTTAAACTGCAAAGTAGTAACATAACATACCTCATCGCTGCAGAGATGGTTGTAGGATTATTCTTCAATCCCTGCACATTTACTACTTGAGGGACATTCTTCAAAGTTGATTCAGTCAAAGTACTTATACCTATTTAAATAAAGAGAGAGGCATATTAATTGCAGTAAAGGATCAAAAATTCTTGGGCCCGGCCCAGTGGCATAGCGGTTAAGTGCGCGCCTTCTGCTTCGGCGGCCCAGGGTTCGCGGGTTCATATCCTGGGCGCGCACTGACACACCACTGGTCAAGCCATGCTCTGGCGGCGTCCCATACAAAGTAGAGGAAGATGGGCACGAATGTTAGCCCAGGGCCAACCTTCCTCAGCAAAAAGAGGAGGATTGGCATTGGATGTTAGCTCAGGGCTAATCTTCCTCACACACACACAAAAATTCTAGCCATATATATAGGAATAACCAGGACACAAACTTAAGCAGAATGCAATCTTACTATATAAAGGAAATCTTCCCTAGACAGTTCTGCTGTACTGTGCTCAATGGACACCTGGCCTACTCCATTCATAAAGATTATAGGATAAGGCTTCATGCAATTTAATCAAAATGTACTATTCTAGGGAAAAAGAATTCCCTGGGCCAGCTTTTATAGAGCAGAGCTGAGATATCCTGCCAGGTTGTAGGCTCATCCTGGAAAAGGGCAGAATGAGCTGGAGGATTAGCAGTGTTCAGACTAAGGATTTCTGCCATCCATCCATCCATTCTTTTTTTTTTTTTTTTTTTGGTGAGAAAGATCAGCCCTGAGCTAACATCCATGCTAATCCTCCTCTTTTTTTGCTGAGGAACACCGGCTCTGAGCTAACATCTACTGCCAATCCTCCTCCTTTTTTTGTTCCCCCAAAGCCCCAACAGACAGTTGTATGTCATAGTTGCACATCCTTCTAGTTGCTGTATGTGGGACGCGGCCTCAGCATGGCCGGAGAAGCGGTGCGACGGTGCGTGCCC